GGCTCGGCCCCGCTGCCGGACACGGCCCCCGCGGGAGGGGGCAGGGACAGGGAGAGCCCCGGAGCCCCCGCAGCCGCCCGGCCCTGTGGAAGCTCCCCCCGCGGGGCTGCACCCGCACAGGGACACCCCCGGGTACACCCAGCCACGGGCACCCACGTGGGGACAAACAGCCCTGGGGACACCCAGCCTGGGACATCCAGCCTGGAATGCTCATCTGGGGACACCCACATGGGGAAACCCACCCAGGGACACCCACTTTGGAACTCTCACCCAGGGACGTCCACACAGCGGTGCCCCACAAGGCACTGCACAAATTCCTTCCCCCTGACTGAATCCTGTAGCTGAGCCCCAGGGGTTACCCGTGTCTGTGGGCAGGGGACAGGAGCAGGCCTTGGGACAGGAACTGCAGTGGCAGGTGTGGGTGACAGCCCTGGGGACCTCAGAGCACCGTGAAGTTCCACCAGTGCTTCATTTGGTCATTAGCAGATGGGAGATCAGAAACCCAGCGCATCACTGCTCCCATGACAGAGGAAGGTGTTTCCAAGCCATGGTGGTGACCGAGACAGAACCAGGTGGAGCCCTTGCTGTGCCATGGCCATCAGGCTGGCCAAAGTCTCTGGAAGCCCTTCTGCTCTCCCTGTGCCTCTCCATGACCACAGCAGTGCCCACAGTCACCTCCAGAATTTTGGAGACCAAATTTCTCTGTTGATGCATTGCTGCTCCAGGATGTAGCGAGCTTGGAGTTTCCTCACCAGAGCTCTGTGATGTGGGGCTGGGTTGCACTGTCACCCTCTGCCAGGTGCTCAGTGGAGCCCAAGGGGACATGTCCATCATGGGTCCCATGGGGTGGTGTCTTCCTCAGTGGGAAGAGAGAGGAGCTGCTCTGAGCAGTGGTGTCATGTCCCAGCGCCTGTGATGGAGAAAATGCCACCATGGGAAGCCAAGACAGCCATGTCCTGCAGCCAGCCCAGAGCCCTGCTCACTGAGAGACCCCTGTCTTGGGAGGACATCTCTTGGGGATGTTCTTTTCAGAATGTCCGTGCTCTGTCATAGCCACATCCACAACTCATCCTTGCTAGGCCAAGCACAAACGTGGGCATCCCCCAAGGACCTGTGTGCTGCTGGGACAAAAAAGTCACTGGGTCCTGCTCCACCTCTCCCCATGAAGACCTGGCTTGATGTCACCCTGCCTCAGGGGCAGCTCCCCCCTCTGCAGGCTGTGCTACAGCTCCCCTCCCTCCCTCGCCTTTCTGCTGCTTGCAGGGTAAAAAATGGGAATTCACGTATTGAAAAAAGCTACAAAACCTCTTCTCTCATGGTCGACTTTTGGTCTGGGAAAAGCAGGATGTGTGGTGCAATACGGGATTAAATAGCAAAAGAAAAAGGAGAACTCCTTAAATCATTTATTTTGTTGCTTCTAAATCTTCCACGACCTAAGCAGAACTGTGCCCCAGCCTGCTATGGCTGCATTAATGCCAAGGCTGCAGGGGCTGGTGAAGCACAGCTGGGCTGTGGGGAGCCCTGGCAGCAGCTCTGACCCTCTGCAGAGTCACTCCAGGGCAGGGAGCGTCCCCTGGCTGGCTCCTGCCCGCTGTGAACCATCACCGGGCAGGGTGGGCTCATCCTGCCCCCTCTGCTCCCTCTGCAGCCTGGGGTGTGACAGCCCAGACACGCCCTGGACCCTGCCCGGGGTCTGTGTCAGCTACAGTGCCCAAGCAGGACTGTCCTCCTGAGCCATCTACTTTTGCTCCCAGCTTTTGGAAAATGCTGGTTTAGTCCTCCACCAAATTGAGACAACCGGGAGATGTCCCTGGGCTCAGCCCCCCTCCAGCTCTCTTCACCTGCCTTCGCTCCCTGAACTGGGAGTGTGGAAGTAATTTTGGAAAAATCCCATTGGGTGCCTGAGCAGAGCATGGAAGGAACCTAAATCCCTGGGCAAGCCCAGCCTGACATCCCAGAGAGCTCCCAGGTGATGGGGAATAAGGAGCCTCTGGGATGAGGGGCCAGGGAAGGGGCTGTGGTGCATCTCCCTGCCCTTCCCACTTCGAGCTTGTCCAGGCTGAGCCCTGCCCGGGCCCATTGACATGATAATACTATTAAACTTCGGCAATTTGAACAACAATCAGCCAACAAGAGCCTGAGGGGGGAATGCTGGAAACCCAGAGGGATTCTGGGAACCCCAGGGGGATGCTGGAAACCCTGGGGAAGCTGGAACTCCCAGGGGAATGCTGGAATCCCGACAGCCTCCCAGAGTATCACACTTCCCAGGCTGGACTCTCCATCCTTTGCCCACCCTCTGATGTTCAGTCTGCACTTTTAGCAAGGAAAATTGGATTTGTGGGTGGTTGTGCTGGCTGTTTGCTGCCGCCCTGCCCTTGGGGCCACTGCTGCAGGCTGGGATTCCCCTGGCAGGACTGGTCCTGGGAGCTGGGCTGGAGCCCCTCTCTGGGCACTGCAGCCCCTCCATCTCCTCCTGCCCCTTCCCATGGGGAAGCTCTGCTCTGTTTCCTCCCTGGAGGCCGTAAGGCAGGACAGACCCTCTCTCAGCAGGTACTGCTGTACCCTTTTCCTCTCTGATGTTCCTCTAACCCTCTGGACATGGCAAGAGGAGTGCGGGGACACCAGGATAGAGCTCACAGCACTGGGGAAAAGCAAAAACTTCGGGGTCAGGGGGTTCTGGGCTGTACTGGGAGCTGTGTCACAGCCCAGGCCCAGAGCTGGGCTGCCCAGTACAGGGGACAGGGACAGACTGGACACAGCCCAGCACAGGGCCATGATGGGCCATGATGGAGGGGCTGGGGCATCTCTGCCATGAGGAGAGGCTGAGAGAGCTGGGACTGCCCAGCCTGGAGCACAGCACGCTCAGGGCATCTCATCCCTGGGGATAAATACCCAGGGTGAGGCTGCAGAGGGGATGGGGTCAGGGACAGCCCCAGGGGCCACGGGCACAAAGTGACACACAGGAGGGGCCCTGTGAGCTCAGGAGACACTTCTGCACTGGGAGCAGCTCTTCTAGACTTACCAAAAGCTTCACCTAACTTGGCCCCAGGTGAACACTTCTGAAATGAATGTCTTAATTTTGCTGCTATATAATACCTTTGAAAAGAGTCAGGTCAGGTCCACCTGCTGCCTCTGCTGTGTCTGATGCAGCCCAAGCAGAGTTGATTTTCTGGGCTGCCAGTCCCCATGGCCAGGTCACATCCAATTGTCACCAGCAGATCCCCCAGGGCAGCCCCCAACCCACCCAGCCCCCAGCCCGTGCTGCTGCTGGGGCTGCCCTGACCCAGCTGCAGGACCTTGCACTTGGCCTGCCTGAACTTCAGGAGGTTCACATGAGCCCAGATAGTTTTGGGGTTTCACAGATTCACCAAATCCCAGAATAGTTTGGGTTGGAGGAGACCTTAAAACTCATCTCATTCCTTCCCCTGCCATGGGCAGGGACACCTTCCTCTATCCCAGGCTGCTCCAAGTCCTGTCTAACCTGGCCTTGAACACTTCCAGGGGTGGGGCAGCCACAGCTGCTCTGGGAAACTGTGCCAGTGGAATAAGCTTATTTACTCTTCCCATAAATACCCCAGTGTCCAATAACAAATTTGTTCAGCTTTGCTGCCTCAGGGTTGAAAGTCCAACAGTGCCACCACAGCCACACCAGTGCAGAGGCAGCTCAGACTGAGCAGTTTTGGCAGCTGCTTGAGGCAGCACCTCTGAGAGCCCCACACTGGAGCCTGTGGCAGCTCCCAGCTCAGACCAGCAGTGGGTCCATCCCGCTCCTGGTACTGCAGGAATCTGGGCCGGTCACACAAGGTGATCCCTTGGGGTCAGAGGGCTGAACATCACTCCCGGATGCAGCTGCCCCAGGAGCTGATCTGTCCACAGCTCCAGCATCAGCTGCCCAAAGTGATATCTGTGGGATGTTCACTTTGCTGGGTGTCCAATGAAGGAAGTTTTATAAAGCATCCAGGCCTCCAGAAGCCTTCAGACCTGGGAATTCTTTCTGGCAGTGGGAGAACTGTAGGTTTTCCCTGGCACAGCAGTGAATTAGGGAAGAAGCTTAGTACCCATGAGGCTGGAGGTGGGCTGGTTTGGGGCTGCTGCTGAAGAGCACAAACCCTGACCCTGGGGAACTCCCTGGAGATCACAGGTTCAGCTCTTCCACATCTGACAATTTAGTTCCTTTTTTCCTGGTGTTGGTAGTGCCTGCAAAATAGAAGTACTGAGACCAAGAAGAAGCTTTTGATTCATGGATCATCTCCCAGGTGATCACCTGGGCCTGGCAAGTCTCTGATGCCTCTGATCCCAGCACATGCCCATGGAGATCCCACAGACCCTATCCAAGCCTTCCCAGCACTCTGCTGTGCACTGTGCCCTCAGCAGGTTTTGTAGGTTTGTCCCCCCATTTTAAATAAAGAATTGCTGGAAATTGTCCTCCAGGGCAGGCTTCAAGCAGCATTTTAAGACCACAGCTTCACAAGGTAGGAGCACCCCTGCCCACACAGCCTTGTCAGGGTGGTGACGAATAACCAAACCAAGGGGACAAACCCCCCTCTCCATTTCTTATCCCCTCTGTCTCTTTCCCTCCCACCCATCCAGGGTGGCACAGAAAGGTGGCCAAGCCCCTGGGACCCTGGACCAGCTGATGTGGGGAGCATGGCTGGCACCTTGCCAAGTGTCTCTCAGCCCATCCTGTCACAGGGGCTGGACAGAATGACCTTCAGCCCACCAGCTAAGGCAGAAAATTACACTCAAGCTGATTTTACATTGTTTGAGAGAAATTTGCCTTCAAAAACAGGCTGCCCCATTGGAAAGGGCCCTGGCTGACAAGGGCAGCAAGATGAGGAGGTGCAGTGCCCAAACCCACCTTCCCAAAGCCCCAGGCACAGCCCAGCACTGGTCCCGAGGCAGCCACACACAGCACACATCTGTCACACCCATAAGGCTTTATACACCCCTTCAGCTTCCTGAATCCCTCAGATCTCAGGCTCTAAAGCCATAAAACAGCCAGGGAGGAGGAACAAAGTGGGGATTCTTTCCTGAACAGGGAATGTGAGAGGAGAGGGAGAGAGGCTTTTCCTCTGTGCTATGGCCCTGAATGGGGCTCGTTCAGGCTGGAGCCAGCCCAAATCCCTGCAGGTCAGCAGGTGATGCTCACCCCAGCCCTGGGACCAGTGGCATGGTGGCTCTGAGGGGGTCAGTGGCTACTGGAGGGGGCCTCACAGGCAGGCTGGGGCACCCAGTGGGTGGGAGAGGTGATGGGAGGGGAGGGCTGGATGGGCACACAGCGGCACAGTGATGGGAGTGTGTCCCCTCCAAGCGTGTCCTGATGCAGGGTGATGGTCCTGGGAGGTGTTTCCCACGGGAGGAATTTGCTGTGGGGCAGCAAGGGGGGCCAAGGGGCAGGGGGTGTGCACAGGATGAGGCAGAAGGGGTGAGTGACCCTGGGCTCTAATCGTCCTTGTCCTTGGCCCCGTGCTTCAGGATGCGGGTGAACTCCACATAGTTGAAGTTGCCCTTTTTGTCGATGGGTGCCTCCCGGTACATCTCATCCACCTCTTCGTCAGTGAACCTGTCCCCCATGGTGGTCAGCAGCTCACGCAGGTGGTCCTCGTGGATGAAGCCTGCAAGGAGGGCAGGGGACAGCGTTAGCAGGGGGCAGCAGGAGAGGTGAGGACGGCACCTTCCCCCTATCCCAAAGACACCCCACCCCAGCTGCCTGGGGACTGCTCCAGGGCGAGGCCAGCCCTCCTGCCGTGCTGTACCTGACGCGTCCTCGTCAAAGCAGGCGAAGGCGTTGCGGATCACGTCCTCGGGGTCGGTGCCGTTCAGCTTCTCCCCGAACATGGTGAGGAACATGGTGAAGTTGATGGGCCCTGGAGCCTCACTCATCATCCCCTCCAGGTACTCGTCAGTGGGGTTCTTCCCTGCGGGGCACAGGCAGGGGATGGATGCAGGGCCCTGCTCCCCCAGCTCCCATCCTCAGGGTCAGCACATGCAAACAGCTGGAATGGCTTTTATTCATTGCAAATTGATTTGCTGGTTCTTGTTCACCCACCCCACCAACATGGGAAGGCAGTTTCTGTAGTGCCCAGTGCTCCCCCCTCAGCATCTCTCCCGATGCTTTCATCCACAGCTGGGAACAAGCTCTGCCTTGGGGGAGGTGCAGTAATTAATTTGGGGGTTACTGAAATGGAACCCATGGCTTTTCCCATCCCCCTGACAGTTCCGAGGAGAGGGGCAGTAATGTCCTCACACAAGCCTCATGCTGCTGATGCCCCCAGCACTGCTCCCACCGTGGGTGCACCAGGGATGGCTCAGCTGCTCTGCTGAGCTCTGTGCCCCCAGCACCGGCCCCTCTCTGCTCCCAGAGCTCAGGCTCCCTGGGAGGAGGAAGATCCCTCCCATGGTCGGGCAGGACCTCCAGAACAGGTTTGGCTGCCAGGTCAATCATTGACAGACTTCCCAAAGTGCAGTGGTACCACTGGGAGTGGGAGGAAGGAGCCATGGTCTGCAGCAAAGGAGAATGGCTTGGGGCAGGGAGTGGGTACAGACCACTGCAAGCCTCAACCAGTCCAGGTATCACACCAGCACGGGGAGCAGCCTCTGTCACCCCAGCTGAGAGCAAGGGGAGGGCTTTGTTCCACATGGGACAGCCCCAGGGAATTTCTGGGGTGAGAATACTCAAACACTCCAGGGCAGAGCTTCTCCAGCCCCCAGGGTCTCTTTCCTTCCAGTGAGTGTGCCTTTGAGCAGCACACAGAGCTGCTGCCCTCAGACACCTCACAAACACCCTTTCTGTCAGCTGGTGGAGCAGAGAAATCCCTCCCAGGTTTGGAGGCATCCCAGCACAGCCAGTGTCCAGCACTGGGTGAGGGCATGAGGTCACCCTGCAGCCCTTCCCGCTCCCAAGATGGCTCTGGGGGCAGAGGGACCTGCGGGGGCAGGGTGTCCTCACCAAGGGAAGCCAGCATGTCGTGCAGATCCTCCTTGTCAATGAAGCCATCACGGTTCTGGTCGATCATGTTGAAGGCCTCCTTGAACTCCTGAATCTGCGACTGGTCGAACATGGCGAATACATTGGAGGTGGCACGCTGGGGGCGCTTCTTGGTGGTCTTGGCTTTGGCACGTTTGCTGGACATCTTGGTGGCTGGGGGAGTACCTGGGGGCAGGAGCATCAGGAGGGCTGGGGACAGGGAGCCAAAGCAGGGACACACTGCCCTGGCACCTCCAGTCCCATGCCTCAGTTTCCCCAGCTGTCACACACTTGGACAACACAGGGAGATGCGAAGGTCACAGGGTCAGACGTGGGGAAGGGCAGGACTTGAGCTGTGATGAGTTCCATGGGCAGTCATAGAGCAGGCAGTGCTCACCAGCACCCCTTCCCCAGCACCGCCCCCAGGGCTGCAGGAAGGCCCCAAACCCACTTGCTGCCTGTCCCCTCTGCATCCCTGGGCACAGGGAGAGATGCCCAGCCCAGCACCCGGCCGGGTGCCAGTCCCGGGGCCATGGGGATGGATGTCTGGGCACTTCAGCCACTGTGACCATGCCCCTCCACCTCCCCTTGCTCCAGCAGGTGCAGAAGCAGCCCCAGCACAAAGGGGTTATCTGCTCTGGGTACATTCTTCACACACCACTGCCTCCGATGTGCCTCCATCCATCCATCCATCCATCCATCCATCCTCCATCCATCCATCCATCCATCCATCCGTCCATCCGTCCGTCCATCCATCATCCATCCATCCATCCATCCATCCATCATCCATCAATCATCCATCCATCCATCCATCATCCATCCATCCATCCATCCCTCCATCCATCCTGCCTCCTGGCAGGTCAAAGACTTCTTGCCACTGCCCTGCCTGTCCTGGTGACCCTCACCGTGCCCAGGGAAGTCATGGGAAGAGGCAGAGGGGAGAGGGGACCATTGCCCTCAGAGGGTTGCAGAGCCAGGAGAGGAGCCAAGCAGCCCCAGGGGCACTGAAGATGGGGCTGTTGTTACAGGTAATGAATGCCAGGAGAAGGGGGCAGCAGTGGGATAGACCCACCTTAGGCACATGGCTGGGACAGTGTGTGTCCCATGGGGAATGGCACAGGCACCATGTGGACCCCACACACCACTGAAGCAGGACAACAGCAGAAAAACCTGGTCCTTCCTTCCTTCCTGTGCCCAGCTGGAACTGGGGCCCCCAGCAGGAACAGGGCTGGAGCACAGAGCTCACTCCCAGCCTGGGATGGCATCCAGGCCCCCTCAGTCCCTGAGCAGGGGGCTGGTGGTATCCCCATACTGCCAGGGATGCAGTCAGGGTTTGGGACAACCTGCTCCACAGGAGCTCAGCATGCCCAGCAACCAGAGGTACTGCCTGCGAGGAGGATGTTCAGGTTCCCAAGGGAATCCTGCCGGGCTTAGCCCAGCAGGATGGCAGCAAAGCCCAGCTTGGCCTGTGGGACAGGCTGGCCAAGGTCAGCCCAGGGAAGGGACACTGCTCTGAGCCTCGTGTTTATGCCTCAGCCATTCCTCCCTCACACACAGCCTTGGGTCCCCTCCTGGCCAGCGTCTGGCTTGGGAAGCAGCTGCAGGGGCAATAGTAAATTCATGAAGAGATTCCATGGTGGAGGAGCAGAGACTCAGTCCTGTGCTCTGTGTGTCCTGTGTGCCTGGTGGGCAGCAGGATCTGGGCTCCTCATCAGTGCCCTGGGATGGAGCAATTCAGGAGCCACATTCTATCTCATGGAGACACACCCCAATGAGATGCAAGCAGGACTGGCCTTGCTGGGCTGGACACCCTGAATGGGCTGCTCTGGGATCTGCTCTGGAATCTGCTTCCCAGCTGGGTCCTTAGTGCTTGACCCCAGGGGGACCCCAGGGACCTGGGGAACATTCCCTGGCACTGACATGGACCAGAGCAGAGCAAACAACCTTCCAAGAGCCTTCCCCCACCCTCCCCACACCAGACCCACTCTCCAGGTCTCTCCTTCCCCTCCTACCACTCTCTCAAGGGGTAGCAGAGGCATGAGCTGGGGCAGGGGACCACCAGCCTGTTGTGGTCTCCGGGTTTCTGCAGCTGGGCTGTGCTTGAAAGACATTCCAGGGGCATCTGGCAGTGCCAAATCACATCCCAACACACCACAGTGACTAGCCAAGCTCAGAGGGGGCTGGGCACTCTTCCCACATCCTGAGAAGGTTTCCATCCCGCTGTAGGAGCACCCACAGAGCCCAGGCAGGGCCCTTCATCTGCAGGGGACGTGCCCCATGTCCCCAGGAATCCTCCCTCATCCCCCATATGCCCCCCACTGCAGGATGAAATCCACACCTCCCTCAGCCCCCTCCTTTGTGCTGACCCCAGCACCTGACAGCAGCCACCAAACCACCCCACATCTCCTGAACTCTCTATCCTTTCCCAGTGCCCACCAGGAAAGAGATGTTTGTCACCAGCCAGCCAAGGGGAGCAGCAGGACTGGGGAGTCCAGCAGTGCCCACACTGGTTGAGCAGGAGACCTCATCCCCCAATGCATCTCTGCCTGCTGTTTGCTGCAGCACCACAAAGCTCTTTGCAGCAGGCCAGCCCCTCTCTGTGTGCCCTGCCAGGCACCACTGAGCACCAGTGACACCCCCAGGTGGCATTGGCTGGTGACATCCCACAGCAGCAGTGTGGCAAGTTCAGTTCAACACAACGAGGCCAAGTCAGAACCAGAAACAAAAACTCTGCTGCTGGCCTGTGGCACTGGGCTCAGCTTTCAAAACATCAAATTATTAGCAGAATTATTAGCAGAAGACCATAGAAATAAGCAGGAGTTTTGCTCTCACTACATGAATTAATATTATCCAAATATTTACCCTGCCCTGACTGTGACCAGCAGTAACACAGTTGGCTCCCTCTCCACAGAGACAGTACTCTTCAGCAGGATTAAGTACAATTTTGACACCACATGAATCTGCAGTTTGATCCAAAATGTGCCCTGGAAAGATACTCAGTCCCAAGGTCCAGCTCAGTCATTCTATCTCTGCTGTTTGACAGCTGCCTTGGGCTGGCTGGGACTTGGGAAGAGATTTTTGGGTCAGTGTGGGGAAAGGTTCCTATGCATAGATTCTGTACAGGGATCTGCAGCAAGACCTGATTCAGCTGGAGCAGTCCCTGCTCTGCACAAGGCTTGATGGCCATGCTCCCCTGGTCCTTGAAGCCATACTTTCTGAGATTCCCAAAAACTGGGATTCAGTTCCAGGAGCACTGCAGGGAATGCTTGGCCATGGAGCCCTGCAATGGTGCAGCCACCAAACCTCCAGCTTCCTCCTCAGCAAGAGGGAAACACAGACACAGGTCCTGCTCCTGGCACCCTCTGCTGCCAGCTCCATCCCAGCACTACTCCAGCCCAGGGACTGTGGATCCCAGGCAGCAGAGCCAAGGAGGTCAGTGCTGGGTGACACCATGACAGCCACACACTGATCTGGTCCCAGACTCACTCCATCACCAGCTGCCCTTGTTCTCTTTACTATCTGCCACTGCTCCTGCCAAAACTATCTCCCAGCCTCCTGCAGTGGAGGCAAAATGATCTCCCGCCAGGCTTGTGCCTCCCCAACCTGAGAGCCAGACCCAAGGGACCATGGGGCTGACCTAAAGAGTTCATAAATTAATAAACAGTTTAGTTTGAAAGAGGAAAAGACCCACAGTTATCAGAAATATAAACTGCCATGTGTTTCCTCCTTGGTAAAAACCAAGCAAGCAACTCCATCCTGGTGCTGCTTCCTGGCTGTGCTGGGGAGGGTGGGACAAGCCAAAGGGACAGGCAGTGCTGCCAGGGCAGGCAGCCCTGTCCCAGACCCATCCTTCCCCCTCCTGCCTGCTTCCCCCCTCCCCTGCAGCTCCTCCTGTGCTGCTCCAGCTCACTGTCCCGGTGGGAGCTCACTGCTGGGCTGAGAGGGCTGTGACAGGCTGGGAGGTGTGAAGGAGAAGGGGCAGGCAGGGGACTGGGCAGCTCCTCGGGCAGAGGCAGCAGCTGGAATGTTCACATGTATCCAGAAGCTATGATCTCCCAGGATGAGCTACTAAGGGTTTCCCAAGGGAGCCTCCTCAGAACCTGCTCCATTGGGTGTTCCTGAGAACCCCTGGAATTGCTGAGGAGACTGCAGTGGGACTGCCCTGCCATTCCTGGCACAGCTGCATCTGCTCCAGCAGCTCCTTCACAAGATCACAGCAGCACAAGGTGCCTCTGCTGGATGTTTTGGGTCAGGGAAGCAATTCGAACAGCCTGGGCTGTCCCGAGGGACATTCCTGCAGGGCAAACATTGGCCCCTCAGGGAGGGCTGTGGTCAAACCTCTGCCTAGTGCTGCTTCCTAAAGTGAGTTGTGAGTACCAGCAAGCCACGAGGCAGCTACACTCGCTGGTGGGCAGCCCCACAAGGGCAGCAGCTCCCACCCCTCATCCAAGGTGGCACAAGGGCCAGAGGGGTGAGGTGGTGCCTTGCAGCATCCCCCTGGCACAGGAGGTGCAGGGCAGTGCAGCTGCCTGGACACTGATCCACGTAAAGCTTTGCCATCTGCAGGCACCTCTCCCAGCCCCAGGGCTGCCCACACTGGAGGAGGGAACAGGGAGCTGCTCATCTTCCCCGCTTCATTTGTTGTTAAACCATCCTTTTCCTCCAGCACAGCCCCGCTCAGGATGCCTGTGGGATGTGGCATCGCTCAGCTTCACCAACGAGGGTTTCTGGTGCTGGGGGAGTGCCACTGCCAGCCAGCAGCACCAGGAGCTGCAGGTGGAATCCTCAGCCTGCTTGACACTGCAGGAATGGAGGTGGGCTGCCATTCTGCTCCTTTTAAGGCCTTATTAGAGATGTGGGAAAGGAAGCCTTGGGGGTGAGAGAAAAGCAGACCCCAAGCCCTGGGATTGTGTCTCCAGTCCAGCCACAGCCACCAGCGCTGATGCCAGGGAGGAAGGGGCAGGGCAGCACTAGGGAGTCCAAGCAAAGTGTGCAGTGACCCCAAGGGAGGCAGAGTTCATCCCAGCCCTCACCCATCTTCCACTGGACACTGGGGACCCGGCCAGGTCCACGCACAGCTGTGGGGCTCAGCTACAAGGTCACCAGATGGTTTCCAGACTAGTTGTTTCCCATCAAGTTCAGGAGACAAGGACCTCACCACACGCAAACCCTTCCAAAGCACAAGTTCTGCAGCCCCCCAGGAGAAGCTCTGGCACAGACACCCTCGGTGTGCAAAGCACCCAGCACCTCCCGATGCCCGGGGAGGCACCCGGGAGCACAGGCACAAGGTCTTCATGGCCTCGGGCTATCAGCATAACGTGTCCTGGCCGGAGGTCTCTGTTTTCCCAGGGGAATTAAGGGGCTCACCTCGGCTGGGGAATGTGGCCGCAGCGCCTCGGACAGGGGAAGGTGACCGCAAACTCCTCCTACAACCGCACAGAGCCTGCCAGGGAGAGAGGAAAAAAATTCCAGCGACAGAAGGAACCTAACCATCTTTGGTCAGCAGCGGTGGTTGTTAACACTTGGGGATGTTCCACTCCAAAGAATTCAGCTCCGGCCGCCGCCTTCTCCTACACATCCATGTTTTAGAGCTTGCCTGGCTTTTATCAGAGTCGAAACATTTTGTACCAAAAGGGCATGCTGGGATGGAAGCCAAGAGGACTTCAAGTTTTCATGGGAAAGACTAAACAAAACACAACATCCCTCTGTGCTTAAGGCTGAAGGAAATGAGCTAAATAAAGCTTTTCTGCCTTAAAGAAGTTTACTGCCTGAAGTTGCTCCCAGGTCACTGGGGAGATATCTGGATCATCACGCATGCATCCTGATATTGCCTCTGGACATCAGCAAAAAGACTTGAAGCAGAAGCAGACGTTCCAGACTGGAACAGTCTCAGAGATCAGGCGGTGGGTGAATCCACGAGCAGCTGCTCCTGCAGCTCTGCCGTGCCGGGGAAGCCGGGATGTCCCAGCTCCCAAGGCACTGCAGTTACCCACAGCTTGGCTCAGGATCAATCCTCAGCTGCCCTAGGCAGGACATTCTTGCTGGGCCCGGCAAGAGGCTGCCCTGGTATAGGATGCCCGGCAGGGCACACCGGGGATCCTCCTGCCACCCGGCCCGTCCCCAGGGCTGACCCTGCCAGAGGTGGAGGGACGGTGGGGCTGCCTCCCCCTGCTCCCCGAGGCAGCCGGGCCAGTTCTCCCCGCTCTCCCGGCACGGTCGGGGATGCTCCCCCTGCTCCCCTCGGCTCCATCCCTCCCGCCCCCCTCCCCGCCGCGGCCGATCCTTCCCGTCCCGGGGGGGTCCCGCCTCACCTGTCCCGGAGCGGGAACCGCGGGAGCTG